CTGGGCTGCAGGAGCCCAGAACTGACAGCCCAGGGACCGGAAGTGATGCAATCTGCATCGCTCCCGGTCCCATAGAACGGGGAGGGGATCGATGAACGGAAGTTCGTCGACCTCCTCCCCAGCTCCCCGCGGACACCAAGATCGCCGGTCCCGGGCCCGTAGGAGGGGCAACGGGTGTCCGGCGGTGGGGGCGGCCCCTTCTTCGGGACGCAGAAGCGATCTGGCGACAGGTAAGTCGCCAGGATCGCTTCTGTTGTAAAGCCGACAGTCGGCTCTACAAGTTTAAACAGAGTCCCGGCGGCAAAAGTCACCGGGAGTCTTGTTTAAACAGCCCCGATGCTGGCGACGTACACTGTACGTCGTCAGTCACGAAGGGGTTAAGCCCCCTTCCCATCCAGGCCATTTTTCAGTATACAGCGCTGCAGTACTTTGACTGACATTTATTCCGTCATGCAATGCTGTACCGAAATTAATTTTATACCATTTTTTAGGGACGGATAGAGCTTTCTTTTGGTGGTATTTAATCACCACTGCGGTTTTTATTTTTTACTATATTAAGGAAAAATTACAGAAAACTGGTGATTGTTCAGTTCATTGTTAGGAGGTCAGCCTCCTGTTCTGGTGTTCCCCATGCGCTCCTCACTTCACTACCTCGACCCAGGTGATTGACCTGTTTAGGTGGGGTGAACGATTTAATACACACAGGTCAGAGTCTAAACCGCTATACTAGTACTGCAATCAACTGGTATTGCCCATACCCCCTCCCCCCACACCACCTCCCCTACCTTCCCACCTGTTTGTGTCTTCGTCCTCCCAGTCATCCATCCCCGTCTTCGCTTCCCCCCTTCGCCACCTCCAGCCCCTATACTATAGTAAACATGTCACTTAAGATAGTATCTCTCAATGTTCAGGGACTTAACCACCCTAACAAACGGGTCAAAGCCTTTAGACACTTTAAAAAAATTAAAGCTGATGTAATCTGTCTCCAAGAGACCCACTTCCCTCGTCGTTCAACCTGTCATACCTGCATTCTAATTATCCTGTTTTTTTCAGCTTCCGCAACTACGAAACACAGAGGAGTCCTAGTAGTGTTCGGTCGCTCCACTCCCTTCATATGTCAGAAAGAGATCAAGCATCCAGAGGGAAGGTACCTAATACTGGTAGGCCCGATCCATGATTGCACACTTACGATGGTATCCTATTATGCCCCGAATACGAGCCAACTTGGATTTATCACTCACCTACTCCAGGTTCTAGCCCTCCATGCTAAAGGGGACTTTGATCATGTGTGGGGACTCCAACCTATTGCTACACCCTCATGTTGATCGACATGATCCCAACCACCCGGCAGCCCCCTCTACAGATATATCTGCGGCCAAGCGCTTCAGGACCTTGCTGACCCAATACCACCTAGTTCACTCCTGGAGAGAGATTCACCCCCTTAAAGAACAATATACGTTTTACTCTAACCCCCACAATGTCTTTTCACGCATTGCCACATTTTACTACGCCCTGACGCCCTTACAAAGGTATCCTCAGCGGAAATCACTCCAATTCCCTGGTCAGATCACGACTCAGTTAGTATTAATATCGCTTTAACTATCCCCCGCCCCACACAGCTTCTCTTGGTCTCTGCGAGACTCCTTACTTACCAACCCTGATATTCTGGCTTCGACCCAAGGCTCCCTGACTGAATATATCCAGTTAAACACTGACGTGGTCTCTTCACCGATAACAGTGTGGGAGGCCCATAAACCCACTATTAGAGGTCGACTGATCCAGCTTGCATCCCAAGCCAAAAAGAAACGGGCATCTCGCATTGACCAATTGGAATCTGAACTGCTAGTGGCATCCCAAAATTTTCAACAGAGACCCACCCCTGAACACAGATCTCGTCTGTTCCATATAAGAACGGAACTTAATATGTGCCTAACGCATCTCTCAAACGATAAATTGGCCTGGACCAAACATTGGTTTTTCTCCTTTGATATAAAACCTGACACAATGCTCACCCATAGACTTAGAGAAGCCAATCCGAGAAATAACTCTATCCAGCTACGTCTGGGAGGGACCCCTGTCACTTCCCACCCTATCAAAATATTAAATGCTTTTCAATCCCACTTACAAACTCTTTACCGTGCCACGGGCACCTTAGATAAATCTAAATTGGACAAATGTTTTGCCACTTTAAACCTTCCCACCCTCTCTGAGGAACACGCACAACTGATTGACTCCCCAATTACAATAGCTGAGATTACTGCCACAATTAAACTCATTAGCACTGGAAAACGTCCTGGGCCGGATGGCCTTGGCGCTGCCTATTACAAAAAATTCACTGACACTTTGGCAGCACCTATGGCGGCATGTTTTAATGCTTTACGCACGGGGAGTGAACTGAGACAGGAATCGCTACTATCCTCCATATGTATGATACCTAAACCAGACACTGATCACACGTCCTGCACCAACTATCGCCCAATTTCACTAATCAATGCAGACCTGAAAATACTTACCAAAATCCTGACCCTTCGTCTCAGATCTCCTCTTTTGGGTCTGATATCTAGGGATCAAGTGGGCTTTATGCTGGGTCGTCAGGCGGGTGACAGTGTCCGCAGGATATCCCACTTACTCCATATATCGTATCAAAGAAATACTCCCACTATGCTTCTGGCTTTAGATATTGGCAAAGCATTTGACTCAGTGAGTTGGGAATATTTGAACTATACACTTACCAGATGGGGTTTTGGAAATTACTTTATGAGATGGATAGGGGCATTATATTCCAAACCGACAGCCTACATACAATATCAGGGATTCCACTCTTAACTCTTTTGAAATTACTAGGAGGGACAAGACAGGGGTGCCCTCTCTCCCCCCTCCTTTTCGCTCTGGCCATAGAGCCCCTAGCACAGGCAATACGGCAACATACCGATATTAAAAGGTCTTGGAAGTCGCAGGGTACCATCATAAAATCAGCTTATTCGCAGATGATGCGTTATTGATTCTTACAGAACCGCTGATCTCACTCCCTAATCTCCAACCACTACTAAAGCTTTTCGGTAACCTCTCGGGTCTCTGCGTGAACATGGATAAATCTAAAGCACTAGATGTCTCCCTCCCCCCTTCGATACTCACCTCCTTGCAACGGTCATTCCCATATCAATGGGCCCACTCTGAAGTGCCCTACCTAGGGATCCACCTTACTTCAACTTATGCCCAGATGTACCAAGCTAACTACCCCAAACTATTTTCTTACATGGAAACCCTACTGTCATCATGGGAGAAACATCCTATATCGTGGCTTGGTAGAGTCACAGCAGTTCAGATGACCCTGCTTCCCAAATTTGTATATCATGCAAGGGTCCTCCCCGTTCCCATCCTCTCTTATCGCCTTAGACAATTACAGCGCCGCATACTTCGTTTCATATGGAAGGGGTCAATTCCTAGGGTCTCCCAATTGGTTCTGTATCAGAGCAAAGTGAGGGGGGGCTTGGGACTCCCCTTTTTCCACAAATATTATCAGGCTGCCCAATTGACCCCTTTGGTGTGCTGGTTTAGGAATAGCGAAATGCCACTGTGGGTCTCTTTAGAGG